GGTTTTGATGATTGTTGTTGAGCTATACTGGGCCAAATCCTTCTTCTTTTCATTTAGGCCCATGCGTTTTTTTATATATTTTTGAACAGAAAAAAACATTAATTTTCATACTCCTTTGCCATTTGGTTTGGGCCTTGGGACATATTTTGTGTTCTTTCTTTGGCCCAATGAATCATAGTCCCCTCAGCATTTATTTCTATCTCAACACCCCCCCCCCCCCCCCCCCATTTTCAGTTTAACATCACCTTTCTATTTTTGTTTGTTTTAAATAAATTAGTTTAATTTTGTTTGTTTCCTTTAAGTTTAATGAATCATATAATTTTGTTAGATAATTAGCTTAGTTCCTTTTTTTAATTTAATTTAGGATTTGTAATTAATTTTCACTATTTATTTTGTGCTTAAGCTTTAATTTGCTTATTTAATTTCTAAATAACAAAACCCTAAAAAATACATACATTTGATTTAACTCTTAAAGCTAATTAATAGAATAGATTTTTTTTATCTTTCATTCCAAACTTTTCAAACAAATAACAAGAATCTTATTTCCTTGCTTTGTTAATTAATTTTCATTTTTATGACTTCAATTAATCGCTCAAAATTCGATTTGGTTGTATTGTTTGTTATTTGGACTGGTTAATCGCGTTCGACTCATCCCCATTTGTAAAAAATTTGTACCTCCATTCCCGAAAACTATGTAATAGCGTAGAATTTCAATTTCCGCAACTTACTGTTTTCTTTATACTGTATAGTAATTAGGCGTGTATGGAAATATTTAAAATCAATCGCTAGATAACCTAATTTCAACAAAATAACTTGAATCAAACACACTTTTCACACACGCACCTCTAGGGTAACCTCGCTCGTTGCCTCGGAAACACAGCCATGTCCCTCGAACATGGGACGCTTTAGCAATGACCCTTCGATAAAAAAAGATCATAGTCCCTCGATGACCCTCGACGTTGCCTTTGATAAAACGATCTCGTCCCTTACGAAAATTGCTAAAGTGTCTCATAAGTTGCTTTCGATGACTGTAAAATTGACTCACGCCTGTCCCTTTACATCCAACGATGGGGCTTCTTACCAAATTAATGGTAAGATAGCAACATCTAAAGGAGGAAGAAAAGAATAATTGAAAACCTTTCGAGTAGGTAGATTCGCTCCTAGTTACTCACTTGCTCGCGATAAAAACATTTTTACACCTACACTTTCATCTCAAAACATTTTTAAAAAAGATAAAACATTTTGTATACGTTCTTATAGAGACGAGAACCATTGCAAAACATCTTTTTCAAAACCACTTTCGAAAACACGTTCCACAAGCACATCTTTGAACCACTTTTTGAAATAAAAACTTTGTACGCGTTCTTATAGAAATGAGAACCATTACAAAGAAATTTTTCAAAACATTTTCAAAGCCCACATCACAAGTACACTGTCAAACAAAAGCAAGTGACCTAAAAGAGTAACTAAGAGCCCATGGAAAACCATGGATAAAAAGGGTGCTAATATCTTCCCTTTTCATAATCTACCCCCCGAACCTGAGAAATGATCTCGAAAGGTCTTTCCTGTGCTTTTTTACCTTTCCTTTTGGATAAAAGAAAAGTCGGTGGCGACTCTTGCTATCCGCACAAATGCGATCGAAATGCAAAACATCAAGTCAGTTCTTCCACCGTATCACAGAAGTGTTTGGTTAATATTTTTGTATAGAATCGTGTTAAGTTGCTTTCGAATGATGTTTAAATTTGCCTGAGTTTGAAAATTGTGTGATGGTATGCGAAATTTTTACCTAAGTAGAAAGAAACAGGATGAATCTTTATTGAAAATAGTCTTGAGTTTTGATTAGGTTAGTAGCAAATATTTTTTTTTTAAATTAGTTAGTTGTTTTGAATTTGATCTAAGTTTTGAATTTGAAAATTTATGATAATTAAAAATAAAAATGCATGGTTGTTCTAGATATAAAAAAAGTTGAAGTTAGTAAAGAGATTGTATAAAAATAAATAGTGATTAAGTTAGTCTTTTGAAAATTAGGATTAATAAACAAACTAATTAAAATTAGGGCAAAAATTTGAAACAAGATTAGTCAAAGAAAATTACTTATTTTTAAAAGAGGGCTTTATTTAACCTAAAAAATTTATGATTTTATTTTATTATATAAAAAATAAATTTACTTTTTATTTATAAAAATCATATGAAACAAAAAAGGTAATAATTTATACATAATAAATAATAAAAAAAATAAAAACAAATTGAAAATTCAAATGAAATAAAAAAAAAAAAAGAAAACCAGGGGGATATATTTTGTTCTACACAACAACTTGAGGGTGCTAATAGCATTTGGGCTAGGCCCATGAAGAGTTGAGTCCGTTTGGATATCATGGGGGAATTTAGAACTGTTATGGTGGGCTAGCGTAATCTGGCGCGTTTAATCCTGATCAGATGGCTACCAGAGGTTAACTCTGGAGCGTTGATCAAAAGTATTACAAACGAAAGGGCGGGATTGGAGGTTGACTGAGGTATATGGTAAGCGAAATGGATAGGGACTAGTCAACAATCACTAGATCGTGTGGTCAGTAAATGGCCACGCGTCACGAATCCAGCCAAGGTCAGACAGAATATATATTGAAAAATCCTTCACAACAACTCATTTTTCTGTTTTTCTTATTTCTCTCTCTACTCCTACGCTCTCTCACTCTATCCTTTAAACAACAAAACCCCACCACCGTTCAGAAATTGCCTTTGCTGGTGGTTTCCCCTCAAGCCACCCCAAACACCATCGTATTCCCCAGTTTTCCGGTTGAATATCAACTGGAAAATTAATACATTCAAATGTTGCAATCCAGACATGATGAACCCTATGAACCCTAAGCTTACCCTTATGAACCCTAACCCTATTTTCGTGAACCCTAGCCATTAGCCACCGTGAGCGGGCGTGATTGTCGCCGTTGATGATGGAGGTTCGCCGATAATCTCATTATATTTCTAGAATCTCTAATAATCCTATGGATCTTAGAACCCTAACCCTTTAGAATCCTATAAAGGTATGAACCATAACCCTAACTATGAACCCTAACTAACCATAAACCCAAATTTTCTAGAAATTTATAATTCAAACCTTAATTCAAACACATACAAGCGTTAATCGCAACAAATATAAAAGTTAAGGGTCTACCAACCTCTCCTACCGTGAATCTTCTTGTAAAATTCCCTTTCGATTCCTCTGATCTTCTTCTAATATCTTTCTCTCTGTTTGTTTGCAGGTATAATGATGGTGATGGAAGCGCAATAGGGCTAAAGATGCTTCAGCGTCAAATCTCCAATTTCTCGCTCTCAATTCTACTCTTCAATTTTCGGTCCCCTATTCTAGTTATACTTTTCAGCTTAAATAGGCTTAGGTTTAGATTCGTTTAGGAATAGTTTTAATTCTGATTTGTTGTTACAAATAAATTAGAGAATTGATTGAATATTTGCAATTTTGATTGGTTTAGATTTTATGTAATTGATAATGTGTAGAAAATAGATTTAGGGTTTCTGTTTTTGTAATGAATTTGGACGATACATGTATGCAAATACAATACAAGGATAACAAAAATCCTTTTTCAATCAAAAATCTTATTTGACTTAGTGTGAATTTCTGAATTTGTACTTTTCTGTTAACTTAGTGAAGAAACAAGTGCAGCTAGACAAAAGGGTTTGAGAGAACCCTAGTCAACCTTAATCAACTTTCACTAAATAATCAAACAAAATATTAAATTAATAATGAAATAAATAATAAAAATGAATAATAAAATAAAAGTGAATTAAAAATGGAGTTGCTGCTGGAAATTATAGTTTCAAACCCTTAATTGACCTTAGTCAACTCTTTCTCAATAATCAGAAAAATAAATAATCAAAAGTAAAAATAAATACTTGAACAATAAAATAAATAACAATAAAAATGAAAAAAACTTTACCTCTAAGTCTACTGAATGAGTGATAATAATAAAATTAAATTAAAATAAAGATTTTATTATTTTATGGTTGACTCCTGGTCAAGCAAAAAATAAAAAAATAAAATACATAATATACTAAAATACTTTAATTATATTTTACTTATAGAACTTAGTATAAAATTAGTTTAAAAAAATGTCAAGATGGACTTGAATTTTCATATATACCAAATACAAATGATAGAAAAAATGTTAATGAGGTTAAACCATAACTGTATATATTATTATTTATAGATTAGCAATGATTAAAAATTAGTAAAATGACTCTAAAGAGATATTAAAACAAATATATCTGATTAAGAGATTAAGGTGACAAATTTAAGATATGACAAAAGAATATAATGCATGTTGAAAAAGGTAATATATGGAATATTGTTATTACTACTACTAGTAAATAAGTAATGTGAGTCATTTTGTTGTAAAAAAAAAGGTAGTGTGATAGTAAATTTTTATATAAAAATTCTAGACACATATTCCAAAACTGCCTATGATCAATAACCAAATCAAACTAGTGGGTCACATCTTAAAAGGAACATTATATTATCTTTCTTTTCACCAAAAAGAGGAGTCATTGTCTTTTTTCCATCACACCAAACTATTTGTCACAGGCTGCATGTTATTCGCTCGCCGTCTCTTTCTTTCTGTTGAGTGATAGAACATATGTCATTTTAAAATTCCATCCAACAACAAAAAAACAAAAAGAAGAGAAGGAGTAAAAACAATATAGCATGTTCTAAACTAATTTAATTCTAGATGAATCAACATATAATCATGACGTACACATTATTATAAGAAGAGTTTAATTGGTATACACTGACGGTTGACATGACGGTTGACAGTGTCATTTAATATAAATTCATTATTCAGTCATATCATACAATTAATTTAAAAATTACAATGCTCATTTGTTTCCAATATTGGTTGATAAAATATATGTGAAATGCAACTCAAGAAAAAATGACTATCTCTTTTATCCATTTTGTCCAATCAATATGGATAGTTTAATCATCATAATCAATCAATGCTTAATCCTTCAAGAAACAAAGTGCTAAAGAGTTCCATTACATCTTTCTTAAGAACAAGACCAACTTCAACTCCACCATTGCCATTTTTGCTCTCTGCCAAACCAATTGTTAAACCTCTATCGATCGACACTATCTCCACCTTTTTCGGCCTTCCCCAACCAAAATCAGTCTCATAAACACCAAATCTATTAGACCCTGCCACTCCTATAATTTCAACTCCTTCACTTGCCAAAGAAGTATATTTAGCAAACACATCTTTAGTTCCTTCAAAAACACCCTTTTCTTTTATAAGCTTTATTTGGTCATAAATACTTTTAGAAACTAAATTCAAACCATCTTCTTTTATGAAATCCAATGGTTGTGTATTAATGAAATGCCCTAATACACAGTTTCCGAAATAGTTATTTGGTATTGGTGGTTCTAACCTTGATCTGCAATCTATGGTGAAAGCAAATGTAAACTTCTCTTTCTCCTTTTCAACTCCTTGAAAAGCTTTTGCAATACATACAAGAGAATAAGCACATGTGAGAACAAACGACGATAAATTCTTTGGCTTTGATTCATTTGTATCGAATATTTCCCATTTGGATAACACCCTTTGTTTTATTTTATCCAAGTCTTCACATGTGAGCTTGAACGTGGCACGGACAGATTCTTCGAGTTTTGGTTCAAACGGAAAAATCTTTAGGCTTCTTTCGTTTCCCTTTTCACTTGGGAATATCTTGGATAAGCTCTCAATTGAGTTATTTTCTTTGATGATTTCTCTGTTGAATAAAGGCTCTAACTCTGGTAACAAAGTTGGTGATTCTTCTTCGGTTTTGATGACTTTGTTGCATAGATAAGCCCATGCTTTGATGAACATGGTTGAAGATTTTCCATCAAGAACTGCATGGTGTGTGGTGATACCAATAGAAAAACCATTTTTTGGAAAAAGGGTTATTTGAATGGACATAACAGAAGCAAAAGAATCTGTTGATTCTAAATAGGGTATAAGAGAGCGAGACAACGAAGCTTCTTGTGGTGAATTTTGTATGACATGGTTGAAGTCTAAACTAGATTCTGCGATGAGCAATGAAACTCCATTATCATCATCATCATTGGGATTGAATTGGATGAATGGTTTTGAAGAATCAGAAGGCCAAACGATTTTACCAGCTAAAGGAGGAAAGTGTTGGAGGGTTAAAGAAAGTGAAGATTTGAGATTTGGAACAAGGTTTTGGAAGAAGAAAGAGGGGTGTGATTGTGAATTTGGAAGGGTGTAGAAGAAGACACGTTCTACTGGATGAAACCTTAGCCAAAATATGTCAAAGTAAGTGAGAGGGGTTGTTGTTTGGGTTGATGATGTTGGAACAACTTTGAAATGTTCGTGGATTTTAATGTTGTTGGGAGCCATGTGAATTTCAAAGTAAGAGAAGTGTTGGTTGAATAAAAGTTTTAGCTATGAAAGGTTAGAAGAAAAGTTTATTATAAAGAAAATATTAGAGAGAGACGAGTATGGAAAAAATGGAATTTTGCTGGTGTTGTTTTGCTACTTGTTTTTCATTAAGACGGCAAAGAAAACATTTTTGTTAAAGATATTGGGTGGCAAAAGCAAAGATATAAACGGATTTGGCTGTTGTTTGGTATATAGGCGTCTCATTGAACTTTGATTCTTTGGCAGAATTCTTTGGCAGAACTACTATCCAACTAGAGGAAAGTAAGTTCGGCGGTATTTGTTAAAATATTAATTAAGTCATCATCATCACCATCATCCAATGAACCTAGTTTGTAGAGTTAGATTATTGGTTAAATTCAAATTAGTATTGGGTAATGCAAAAGATAGATTCTCTTGAGCAATTGGAAATTTATTCTTTTAAGGAACTAAATATAATTATTGCTGTAAACTCTTAATATTCTATATTGTGATCCTATATAAATCACATTGTATCTCATATTGAAAGTTAGTTGGACAGTTTTTATAAAGAAAGAAAGTTCAAAGTACACTCTCATTTCTCTTCTATTTCTTTAAATTGGTATTAGAGTGCATGGCAAATATGATGGGTCAAATGCCACTGTCACGACTTTCAAAGTCGAATTATGAGAACTGGAGTATCCAGATGAAGGCGCTGCTGGGATCGTTAGATGTATAGGAAGTAACTAACGATGGGTTTGAAGAACTATCAAATACGACGGCAAACACAACTGCTCAGAATAAGGCGTTGAAAGAAACGCGGGCAAAGGATAAAACAACATTGTATATGCTGTTCAGAGCAGTTGACGAATCAGTTTTCGAAAAGATTACTGGTTCGACTACATCGAAGGAGGCGTGGGACACGCTCGAAAAGGCTTTCAAAGGAGCAGATATAGTTAAGCAAGTTCGATTGCATACTCTTCGAGAAGAAATGAAGAGAATGAAAATGAAGGAGACAAAGTCTGTATCGGACTACATCACTCGTGTGCAGACGATGGCAAACCAACTCAGTCGAAATGGAGAAGCAATGACTGATGCTCGTATTGTCGAAAAGATTCTGAGATCTTTGACAGGCAAGTTCGAAAACAAAGTATGCACAATAGAAAAGGCGAAGGACCTTTCGAAAATCACTATCGAAGAAGTGGCTGGTTCGTTTGAGGCACATGGACATCACAAAATAAAGAAGAAGAAGGAGGCACTTGAAGATGTAGAACCCAACAGAGACGAAAAGGTACTTTTCTCTCAAAATTAGCGTGGAAGAGGATATGGTCGTGGAGGACGTAATGGCGGTCGAAGTTACCAAAATAACAACTTTGATAGAGGACAGTCAAGCCAACAAAATTGGCATGGCATAGGACGTGGCCAGAGAGGTGGTAGATCGAATTACAACAATATCAAATGTAACAAATAAGGGCGCTATACGAAAGATTGCAACTCCTACAGTTGCTACAACTGTGGTAAAATGGGACATTGCAAAAGACTGTCGACTCAGAAGAAAGGTAGAAGAAACAACAAATCTTGCCCTAGAAACAGAATCGAATGAAGGATTTTTGTTAATGACTCAAAAGGAAGCAGATGTAGAAAATGTGACTATGTGGTACCTGGACTCTGGAGCAAGCAAACATATGTGTGGTCATAACCACTTGTTCAAAGAAATAAAGAAAATTGAAGATGGTCATGTTTCCTTTGGAGATGTCGAAAGTAAGGGTCGAAAGAAAAGGAACAATCAGTTTCTTGCAGAAGGATGATTTGATAGGATCTATCCAAAATGTGTATTATGTACCAAACCTCAAAGCAAATATTTTGAGTCTGGGACAACTCACAAAAAATGGCTATTCGATTCTCATGGAAGATCGAAACTTGCAGTTAAAAGACAAATCAGGACGTCTGGTTGCTCAAGTCGAAATGGAGAGAAATCAAATGTACAAGTTGAATTTGAGAAGCATTCGAGAAAAGTGTTTACAAGACAATGTCAAGATCAAGCATCCCCATGGCATCTACGTTTTGGTCATCTACACCAAGCTGGACTAAGGAGGTTAGCAAAGAAAAATATGGTGCATGGACTGCCAGACGTAGAATTCGAAGGAAAGTTCTGTGAAGAATGTTTGTTTGGAAAACAGACGAGAACTTCATTTCAATCGAAGGAAGAATATCAAGCCAAACAAATTCTGGAATTGATTCACACTGACATATGTGGACCAATTACCCCAGAATCCTTCAATGGAAAAAAACTACTTTATATCTTTTATTAATGACTACTCAAGGAAAACTTGGGTGTATTTTCTGAAAGAAAAGTCAGAAGCCTTTGAAGTATTCAAGAAGTTTAAGATAATGGTGGAGAAAGCAACAGACAAGCACACCAAGGCTCTTCGATCAGATAGAGGTGGGGAGTATACTTTGACATCCTTTATGAAGTACTGTGAAGAACAAGGCATAAGGAGATTTTTTACTGCAGCATACTCACCTCAACAAAATGGTGTGAAGGAAAGGAAGAGTCGAACAATCTTTCACATGGTTCGATCAATGTTGAAGAGCAAAAACATGTCGAAGGAATTTTGGGCAGAAGTTGTACGATGTGTAATCTACGTTCAGAATAAATGTCCACATTCAAAGCTGGGAGATTTAACACCTCAAGAAGCTTGGAGCAGACAAAAGCCAACTGTGTCTCACTTCAAAGTGTTTGGAATTGTGGCTTATGCATATGTACTTGATCAAATAAGAACAAAGCTAGAAGATATGAGTCATAAATACATACTCATTGGGTATGATGAGAAAACGAAAGGTTACAGACTTTTCGACCCAATAAACAAAAAGGTGATAGTAAGTAGAGATGTTCGAGTAAACGAAGAAAGCAAGTGAGACTGGAACAAGTCAAGTGAAGTTGTGATCAAAGTACCAGATGCTATATCGAAAGACACTTCGACAGAACTAGAAAACTTTGAAAATGAAGATAGACCCTCACAGCCCAGGTTGCGAAGTTTACAAGACTTGTATGGAAACACATAATAAGTGCATCTCATATGCTTGTTGGCACACTCTAAAGATGTCAGTTTCAAAGAAGCAATAAGAAACAAAAATTGGAAGGATGCTATGAATGAAGAAATCAAGGCCATCGAACGCAATGATATTTGGGAACTAGCAGAGTTATCAAAAGAAAGTCAAACAATTGGTGTGAGGTGGGTGTTTAAGAAAAAGATAAATGCACAAGGTGAAATCGAAAGATACAAGGCGCGACTTGTGGCGAAAGGATACAAGCAGAAAGCAAGAATCGATTATGATGAAGTCTTCGCACCTGTTACGAGAATGGAGACAATTCGACTGCTCATATCTCAAGCTGCTCAATACAAATGAAAAATACATCAGATGGATGTCAAGTCAGCCTTTCTGAATGGCGTGCTCGAAGAAGAAGTTTACATCGAATAACCCCCTGGATTCATGAAAATCGAAAATGAAGGAAAGGCGCTAAAGCTAAAGAAGGCACTTTATAGGCTGAAGCATGCACCACAAGCATGGAATAATTTAATTGACACATACTTCAAAGAAAATGGATTTCAGCAATGTCCCTACGAACATGCCCTGTATGTGAAGAAGAAAAAAGAGAAAATATTGCTTGTTGCTCTCTATATTGATGATTTAATTTTTTTGAGCAACAACAATCAGATGATCGAAGAGTTCAAAGGAACAATGACACAAGAATTTGAGATGAATGACTTAAGCCTGATGAAATACTTTCTTGGTCTGGAGGTTCAACAAGAAGAAACATGAATCTTCATCTCACAAGAAAAATATGCAAAAGATATCCTGAAAAGAGTTAAGATGGATAGCTGCAATCCCATTTCGACACCAATGGAGCCAGGAGCAAAGCTTTCGAAATTTGATGGGGGAGAGCGTGTCGAAGCAAACAAATTTCGAAGCTTGGTGGGAAGTCTTCGATACCTCACAACCACAAGGCCAAATCTTTCGTTGAGTGTTGGAATTGTGAGTTGTTTCATGGAAGAACTAGTTGTTGCACACTGGAAATCTATGAAGAGAATCCTTCTATATGTCCAAGGAACTGTGTGTTTCCAGTGATTTCTGGTAAACAACCGCTAGTCTTCCAAACTATCGAATAAACTTACTGACTGTTATTCAATTTCTCTGGTAACTCGCAGGATCGACTAGATTGATCCTAGGACTTATTGGTCATTAGGGTAACTCTCATGATCGAACATGTATTCATGGCTGGTATTTAGAGTGTTGTGTAGGTGTTTGACTTATTTCGATTTCTCTCTTGAAGATCTAAAGGCGTAATCAAAATATATGTGCGCGAAACTAAATTGCATGAATAAATGTTAATTGTAAAGACATGTAAAATTGCATAAAAGATAAGTAAATGGCTTCGAAACGTAAAACAAAACAGTTAATGTAAAAGATTCGAAATGCGAAGAAAGCGTTTAATGCAAGAAATCTGTGAAATGACTTTAAGTAAAATAGGCGTTCGAAGGATAAAACTTGAAGATAAAGGCATGAAAAATATGACATTCCTCTGAAATGTAAAGTGTTTGAAACGGAAAGAAAGCATTTGAATGTAAGGCATCAATGAAAAGATTTCGAATAAAAAGACTTTAAATGAGAAAACTTGTAAATGGTATTTGGCAGAAAGATAAAGGAAAGTACTGGAAATGATAAAGGGTTTTCATTAAATCATAAACATGTGGTGTTATCATATGTACATTTCTCTTGCATTCGTTTCCCTAGCCATGTGGTAATTTGAATGTTTACTGAGTATTTTTGTACAATAGATATGACACACGAAATCCTAATACTAAGACTTCTATTTATACTACTTCGACCATAACGGTCCTGCTATAAGATTCTGCCACGTTCAGAACATGCATAACAATGCCTCTCTCTCGTTTCCACGTGTCTTCAAATGCTCCAGCACATAAATTTCAAACTTCGAA